TTTCTATGGCACAAAGCAAACAGAGGAATTGATCAGCAACAGACACCCCAGTGTTCCTTTCTCTCTCCATTGGCATGGAATTTGCATGGACCCCCCACCCACAGCCTCTCCCGTAACCCTTTCCTATTCTTTTCGATGGCACACAGGAAACAGAGGAATTAACAAGCAACAGACAGACACCCCAATGTCACTGGCGTGGAATGATAATATTTGAAATATAATAATAATAATGTGACTGATAATATTTGAAATATAATAATAATAATAATAATAATAATAATAATAATGTGACTGATAATATTTGAAATATAATTTGAAGGACAATATTTTAAATATAAAGTGAGTTATAATATTTTAAATATAAAGTGAATTATAATGTTTTAAATATAACAGTAAGGTGATTATATTTTAAATATAATCATAATGTGAATTATATTATATTAAATATAATAATAATGTGAATTATATTTTAAATATAATAACAATGTGAATGATAATATTTGAAATATAATAATAACAATGTGACTGATAATATTTGAAATATAATAATAATAATAATAATAATAATGTGACTGATAATATTTTAAATATAATAATAATAATAATAATGTGACTGATAATATTTTAAATATAATAACAATAATGTGACTGATAATATTTTAAATATAATTTGAAGGACAATATTTTAAATATAAAGTGAGTTATAATATTTTAAATATAAAGTGAATTATAATGTTTTAAATATAACAGTAATGTGATTATATTTTAAATATAATCATAATGTGAATTATATTATATTAAATATAATAATAATGTGAATTATATTTGAAATATAATGTGAATGATAATATTTGAAATATAATATGAATGATATTTTCAATACAGTGCGATTAATGTTATATTAAATATAATGGTAATGTGAATTATATTTTAAATATAATATGAATGATAATATTTTAAATATAATAGTAATGTGAAGGATAATATTTTTAATATAACAATAATGTGAATTATATTTTAAATATAATCATAATATGAAGTATATTATATTAAATATAATAGTAATGTGAAGGATATTTTAAATATAATATTTATACGTGAATAATATTTTAAATACAATAATGTGAATGATATTTTAAATATGTGAATGATAATATACTAAAATAAAATACTAATGTGAATGATAATATTTTAAATACAACAATAATGTGAATTATATTTTAAATATAATAATAACAATGTGAATTATAATATTTGAAATATAATAATGTGAATAATGTTTTCAATATAATAGTAATGTGAATGATAATGTTTTTAATATAACAATAATGTGAATTATATTTTAAATATAATCATCATATGAAGTATATTATATTAAATATAATAGTAATGTGAAGGATATTTTAAATATAATATTATAACATAACATTAATAATGTGAAGGATATTTTAAATACAATAATGTGAATGATATTTTAATTATGTGAATGATAATATACTAAAATAAAATACTAATGTGAATAATATTTTCAATATAATGTGATCTTTTCAATATAATGTGAATGATATTTTAAATATAATAGTAATAACGTGAATTCTAATATTTTAAATACAATAATTTGAATGATATTTTAAATATGTGAATGATAATATACTAAAATAAAATACTAATGTGAATGATAATATTTCCAATATCATGTGAAATATTTTAAATACAACAATCATGTGAATTATATTTGAAATATAATAATAATAATACTAATACTAATAATGTGAAATAGTCACAATAGGGATAGAGGGATAGTGGTGCTGTTGAATGCCAGATCTGTCAATGGAAAAACAACTTTCATCCAAGACTTAATCCTGGATGAGCGGGCAGATCTGGCGTGCATCACGGAGACCTGGTTGGACGAAGCGGGAGGCGTGAATTTGACCCAGCTTTGCCCACCAGGTTTTTCCGTGCAGCACCAGCCGAGATCCAGAGGGCGGGGAGGCGGGGTCGCAGTTGTCTATAGAGATTCCATCCCTCTGACCAGGGGCCCCATCCCGCAGTCAACAAATTTTGAATGTGTCCACTTGAGGTTGGGTGACCGGGACAGAATAGGGATTCTGTTAGTGTACCGCCCACCTCGCTGCACTACAGTCTCCTTACCTGAGCTAGCGGGGGTGGTCTCAGGCCTGGCATTGGAATCCCAGCGGCTCCTTGTGCTGAGGGACTTCAATGTCCATGCCGAGGCGGCCCTTTTAGGAGCGGCTCAGGACTTCATGTCTGCCATGGCAACCATGGGGCTGTCCCAGCAAGTATCTGGCCCCACTCATAGTGCAGGACATACATTGGACTTGGTTTTCTGCCAGGGATGGGAGGAAGGTGGTGGGGTCGAGGAGCTGACCATCTCTCTGTTGCTGGAAAGATTGAGGTGGCGGTGTCGAGGAGTTGACCATCTCTCCGTTGCCATGGACCGACCACTTCCTGGTCAGATTTAGGCTCACTGCACCCCCTAACCTCTGCAGAGGTGGAGGACCCATTAAGTTGGTCCGCCCAGGAGGCTTATGGATCCGGATGGATTCCTGATGGCTCTTGGGGAGTTTCCCGCCGCCTCGGTAGGTGATCCTGTCGAGGCCCTGGTCACTCTCTGGAATGGGGAGATGACTAGGGCAATTGACACGATCACTCCGGAACGTCCCCTCTCAAGTAGCCGAGCTAAACCAGCTCCCTGGTTCACCGAGGAGCTGGCAGCGATGAAGCGAAGGAAGAGGGAACTAGAGAGTGTGTGGCGTTCAGATCCGAGTGAGCCAAATCGAACACGGTTTGTGTCCTTTTTAAGGGCATATGCCGCGGCAATAAAAGCCGCAAAGAAGGTCTTCTTTGCGGCCACTATTGCGTCTGCAAAGAACCGTCCGGCTGAGCTGTTCCGAATTGTCAGAGGCCTTTTAAATCCCACCACTCAAGGTGGGAACCCTGACGATTCGACTTCTCGTTGTGAAGCTTTTGCTCAGTTCTTTGCAGACAAAGTCGCTTTGATCCGTTCTGGTCTGGATACCATGTTAATGGCAGTCTCTGAGGATGTAACACGAGCACCTGCTTGTCCAGTTTTGATGGATTCATTTCAATTGGTGAAACCCGAGGATGTGGACAAGATACTTGGAGGAATGAGGCCAACCACATGCATCCTGGACCCCTGCCCATCCTGGCTTCTAAAGGAGGCCAGAGGGGGATTGGCTGAGTGGGTTAAGGTGGTGGTTAATGCTTCCCTTCGGGAAGGCAAGATTCCAGCGAGCTTAAAACAAGCTATAATAAAACCGCTGTTGAAGAAACCATCACTGGACCCCACTAAATTCGACAACTATCGGCCAGTTTCCAATCTCCCCTTCTTGGGCAAAGTCTTGGAACGTGTGGTGGCCTCACAACTCCAGGTATTCTTGGTAGACACGGATTATCTAGACCTGGCACAGTCTGGCTTTAGGCCGGGACATGGTACCGAGACAGCCTTGGTCGCCTTAGTGGATGATCTGCGCCGGGAGCTCGACAGGGGGAGTGTGTCCCTGTTAGTTCTGCTGGACCTCTCAGCGGCCTTCGATACCGTCGACCACGGTATCCTTCTGGGACGCCTCGCGAGGATGGGTCTTGGAGGTACTGTTTTGCAGTGGCTCCGGTCATTCCTGGAGGGTCGATCTCAGAAGGTGTTGTTGGGGGACACCTGTTCAACCCCACAACCATTGTCTTGTGGGGTTCCTCAGGGCTCAATATTGTCTCCCATGTTGTTTAACATCTACATGAAGCCGCTGGGGGAGATCATCCGGAGTTTCGGGGTACGGTGTCATCTGTACGCGGATGATGTCCAACTCTGTCACTCCTTTCCACCTGCTACTAAGGAGGCTGTCCAGGTCCTGAACCAATGCTTGGCCGCTGTAATGGTCTGGATGAATGCGAACAAAGTGAAATTGAATCCAGACAAGACAGAGGTACTCCTGGTCAGTCACAAGGCTGAACAAGGTATAGGGTTCCAGCCTGTGTTGGATGGGGTTACACTCTCTGTGAAGACACAGTTTCGCAGCTGGGGTGTGACCCTGGACTCATCGCTGAGCATGGAACCCCAGGTTTCGGCGGTGACCAGGGGAGCATTTGCACAGCTAAAGCTTGTGCGGCAGCTGCGCCCGTACCTTGGGAAGTCTGACTTGGCCACGGTAGTCCACGCTCTGGTTACAGCCCGTTTAGACTACTGCAACGCTCTCTACGTGGGGTTGCCTTTGAAGACAGCTCGGAAGCTCCAACTAGTCCAACGCTCGGCAGCCATGATTTTAACAGGAGCGGAGCGCAGGGAGCATACAACCCCCCTGTTGCGCCAACTCCACTGGCTACCGATCTGCTACCGGGCTGAATTCAAAGTGCTGGAGTTGGCCTTTAAAGCCCTAAACGGTTCCGGCCCAAGCTACCTATCCGACCGCATCTCTGCCTATGAACCCACCAGGACTTTGAGATCTTCCGGGGAGACCCTGCTCTCGATCCCGCCTGCTTCTCAGGCTCGGCTGGTGGGGATGAGAGATAGGGCCTTCTCGGTTGTGGAACGCCCTTCCTACGGACATTAGACTAGCACCATCTCTAATGGTATTCCGCAAAAAAGTGAAGACCTGGCTGTTTGAGCAGGCGTTTGAGTAATTTAGTGCAATCTGGTAATGGAACATAGGAATGGAACAATGGACGACGAATCTGGACTACGCTTGGATGATGAGAAGATTGGGTACGGTTGTTTTTTGTAATAATTGTGCATTGTAATTGCTTATTGATGATTTATGGATAATGTGTTAAGTCAATTGTCAATTGTTATATGTTGTATGGAACTATTGCTGTTTTTATTGTCTTTATTGTTTGTGAACCACTGTGAGTCGCCTTCGGGCTTGAGATACAGCGGTGTATAAGCAAAGTAAATACATAAATAAATAAATAAATAGTAGTCCTTCCCCCTTGGATCCTGGCCTTCCTCCCTTCCCTGGCTGGCTGACCTGCGTGCGGCGTGGTAGAGCCAGGCTCCCCCGGCGGCGGCGGCTCCGATCCCGGCTGCGGCGGTGGCTGTGGCGGGGAAGGCTCCCCACGCGAGACCGAGGCCTTCCATGGCTCCCCAATGCAGCAGGCCGCACACCTCGCCTCCCTTCTCACCCTTCTCCCGCCTTTGCCAATCCTGTCAGCCTCAACGTTCCTTCCGGGGCGTCCGACTGACCAATGGCGGACGATATGCAAAAGAGCGGAGCGCCTCTTCGGCCAATTAGGCAAAAGAGAGAATGGAGCGCCTCTTCGGCCAATGGCGGACGATATGCAAAAGAGTAGAACGCCGCTTCGGCCAATGGCGGGCGATTATGCAAAGAGGTGGAACGTTCGGGCAAGGCGGGAAAAGGGCCTCTCTAGGCTCTCTTAAAGGGCCCGCTCCCCATTTCGTTGGAAGGAGTCGTGAAAGGCCGGAGTCGTGCCAGGAGGGAGTCCACACGGGTGGGAAAGGCACGAAAAGCCCGGGTTTGGTCACGAGGTGCCAGTCCAGGCTAGGCACGAAGCAGGAAAGTCGTGCTCCTGCCCCCCTGGGAAATGGGGGATGCTTCTCCAGCTCCACTTCATTCACACACACACACACACACACACACACACACACACACACACACACACACACTATATATATATATATATATATATATATATATATATATATATATATATATATATATATAAATAAAAATGTAATATATAATATATAAGAATAGTATAAGAATAATATTAATGTGAATTATACTGTTATATATATAAAATATAATAATGTAATATATAAGAGTAATATTCACATATTACATTATTATATTCTTATATATATAATATAATTCTCATTAATATTATTCTTATATATTATAATACATAAGAATATATATATAAGAATTATAATATATAATAATAATATTAATGTGAATTATACTATTATATATATACAGTATAATAATGTAATATATAATATATAAGAATAATATAAGAATATTTGTGTGAATTATGCTATTATATATATAAAATATAATAATGTAATAAATAATATATAAGAATAATGTAAGATCACATTAATATTACTCTTATATTATTCTTATATATTATATATTACATTATTATATATTTATATGTATAATATAATTCACATTAATATTACTCTTATACTATTCTTACATATAACATATTACATTATTATATTCTTATATATATAATATAATTCTCATTAATATTATTCTTATATATTATAATACATAAGAATATATATATAAGAATTATAATATATAATAATAATATTAATGTGAATTATACTATTATATATATACAGTATAATAATGTAATATATAATATATAAGAATAATATAAGAATATTTGTGTGAATTATGCTATTATATATATAAAATATAATAATGTAATAAATAATATATAAGAATAATGTAAGATCTCATAATAATGTAAAGACAAAATAACAATAAAGTAAATATATATCTTACATTGTGATTATTATTTTACATTATTGTGTATGTATATATATATATATAAATGAATATTTAATATAATTTAAATACAAATATAATATTGTAAAATAATTATATTAAATATTCTTCTATATATGTGTGTGTTAGAAATAATGTCGGATCCATTTCTTCATATTATTTTACATTTTTGTGTGTATATATATAAATGAATATGTAATTTAATGTAATTTAAATATAAATACAAATATAATAATTATTCTACATTATTGTGCATATATATATATATATATAAATGAATATTTAATATAATTTAAATACAAATATAATGTAAAATAATAAGGAAAAATGGATCCTACATTATTTCTAACACATATATATAGAATATTTAATATAATTTAAATATATATATATATATATATATATAATGTAAAATATATATCTTACAATATTTCTTACATTATATACGGTATATGTATAAGAATATTTAATATAATTTAAATATAAATAGAATAACGTAAAATAATAATAGAAAATATATCTTACATTATTATTATAATGTATGTATATATAAGAATATTTAATCTAAATATAAATATTATAATGTAAAATAATAAGGAAAAATAAATCTTACATTGTTTCTAACATATATATATATATATATATAAAAGAATATTTAATCTAATTTAAATATAGATATAATAATGTAAAATAATATCTTACATTATTTCCTACATTATATATATATGTATATATAAGAATATTTAATGTAATTTAAATATAAATATAATAATGTAAAATAATAATGTAAAATATAATATCTTTTATGGTCATTATTTTATATTATGTATATATATATATATGTATATATATATAATAATGTAAAATAATAATATAATAATGTAAAATAATGAAAATATAATAATATATTTACGTTATTATTATATATGTATTATATAATATATTTTGCAATATAGACATGAATTATATAATTTATATACAAACATTCGTATAATCACACATGTAATATATTTGCTATATATTACAATATCTACACAAATGCATTCTATATTATATTTTACAATATAGGCATATACAATCATATATGTATGTGTGTGTGTGTATGTATGTATATATATATATGCTCGATCTCTTAAGATTCATAGTGTCATTGAATCCTTGAGTTGGAAGAGACCCCAAAAGGCCATCCAGCCCAACCTCATTCTGCCATAAAGAAAGACAACATTTGATCTCACCCAACAGATGGCCATGCAGTCTCTGCTCCAGAGAAGGGAGACTCCGTCGGTAGCATTTTCCATAGGACATATTGTAATGTATGTTGCAAAATAACATGTTTTGAGGTATGAATTTCAAGACGTCTTAGAAATAAATAACAAATGAGTATCGCTATTATTATTATTACGGACGACGCGAGATATCCCTGTACGTTAAATAGCGGCTTTTTAATTTAGTTGGTTTAATTCCTGAAACCTCATCTTTCTCTTTAAGTTAAAAAAAAATTAATAATAATTAATTAACAGTAACAGCGACAACTTTCAATAACACACAAACCCAAAAGGAAGGAGAGAGGGACACACATATAAAGACACACAGAGACAAAGACGGGGAAACTAAAATGAGCATCAAAGGAAAGGGATTCGTGTGAGGGTCGGAAGCGGAAAGCACCCCAAAACAAAGGGGGGCCTTTGCCTCCTTTCGCCCCGATTATTATTCACTTTGAAGCAGCTTGTGGAGAAACTGGCCTGCAGAGTTTCAAGAGTTTTTTTGCGTATCTGCGTCTGCGTCTGATTTGAACCCAAAGAGGCTCCTCGGCCTGCTATTTGGCCCGGTCTTCCAGCAGGTAGACTATCAATTCGTAGGTGGAGAGGACGATGGCCGTGTTGGGGATCTGCCGCATGAGCTGCGCAAAGAGTCCTCGGTAGAAGGCCTGGTAGCCCTCCTCCCGGAAGACCAGCCGCGCCGTCTGGACAAACGCCTTGTATTTCGTCCCTTCCTCCCGGAGACGGGTCCGGATCACCTCTGCAGTGGAGAAAAGAAGAGAGATTTATTACGGGAATCTCCAAAAAATACAGCAGAGCATCCAAAATACAAACAGGATACTTATAGAAAACTCCCAAAAATACAACAGAGCATCCCAAATACAAACAGGATACTATAGAAAATTCCCCAAAATACAACAGAGCATCCAAAATACAAACAGGATACTTATAGAAAACTCCCAAAAATACAGAAGAGCATCCAAAATACAAACAGGATACTATAGAAAATTCCCAAAAATACAACAGAGCATCCAAAATACAAACAGGATACTTATAGAAAACTCCCAAAAATACAACAGAGCATCCCAAATACAAACAGGATACAATAGAAAATTCTCAAAAATTCCGCAGAGCATCCAAAATACAAACAGGATACTTATGGAAAACTCCCAAAAGTACAGGAGGGCATCCAAAATACAAACATGATACTATAGAAAATTCCCAAAAATATAACAGAGCATCCAAAATACAAACAATATACTTATAGAAAACTCCTAACACTACAAAAGAGCATCCCAAATACAAACAGGATACTATAGAAAATTCCCAAAAATACAACAGAGCATCCAAAATACAAACAGGATACTGTAAAAAATTCCCAAAATTACAGCCGAGCATCCAAAATACAAACAGGATACTATAGAAAATACCCAAAAATACAGCAGAGCATTCAAAATACAAACAAGATACTTATAGTTGAGCATTCATGCTGAAAAAACTCCCTCTGCTTATACATGAGTCAGTTATTTATTACTTTACTATTATTATTTTATTACATTTATTATTTTATTCTATTTATTATAATAACAATATTTATTATTTTACTATTATTTTAATTAAATTTATTATTTTACTCTTTATTATTATAATAATATTTATTTTTTACTATTATTATTTTTATTACATTTATTATTTTACTCTATTATTATAATAATATTTATTATTTTACTATTATTATTTTTATTACATTTATTATTTTACTCCATCTATTATAATAATAATATTTATTATTTTACTCTATTATTATTTTTATTACATTTATTGTTTTACTCTATTATAATAATAATATTTATTTTTTTACTATTATTATTTTTATTACATTTATTATTTTACTCTATTATAATAATATTTATTATTTTACCATTATTATTTTTATTACATTTATTATTTTACTCTATTATAATAATATTTATTTTTTTACCATTATTATTTTTATTACATTTATTATTTTACTCTATTTATTATAATAATATTTATTAATTTACTATTGTTATTTGTATTACATTTATTATTTTACTCTATTTATTATTATAATAATATTTATTATTTTTATTACATTTATTATTTTACTCTATTCTTGTAATAATATTTATTATTGATTATTAGTACGTTTATTATTCTACTCTGGCTGGCGTCGTACCGTGTGGGTAGGCGATGCACGAGGCGCAT